ACAGTGCACATCAACACGATGAAAAAAAGGGTTAGAGGCTAGATATATATTATTAATATTGTACCTTTTATTTTGCATACTCAGTCCAAAGATATGAAAACTGATGCATATTCATGTAATACGGTTGTCAATTGTGAAGGATTGATGTCTATGTCTATGTTTTGGATTGGAATTCCCTTGCTGCTGTGCTTTGGCATGTGGGGCTCAAAGGTTATGTTTGAATATTGAAGTCGCCATTTGTTTTCATGTCTTTTTAACTTGGTTCGTTGCTTGTTGATATTAAGGAGCGTATGGTAAGCACCCTCATGCCTTGAATCATTTATCATAAAAATATTTGATATCCTAGCTGACAAAAATTTGTGAACTTTGTCTATACACATGAGGAAGAAACACATAAACTCAGGGCTTTTAAGCCAATGAAGACATTCAGAATTTCATTTTGGAGTGGAGGAGCTCATGCTATGGACATATTTGTGTATGGGAGCATGAGTTATATCCCGCACAAAAATGATAAGAACTACTCTCTCGCTTGTCTGTTAATATATTAGTGTCTCTATGATAAACACGTGTTACCAATATAAAGTATCTGCAAAACTAATCGCTTAGCTCAAAGGGAAGGCAAATTGCTCCAGTTGTGAATGATAGGATGAAGCAGCCATTGCACCACTCAAGATAAGAAAGAAAATTCAAAAGTTATAATAGCCTTTCTGTCTTTGGCAATTCATGAAGAGGTTGTACTTGAGCTAAATTGTTAAGTTAGCAGGATAGATGCATTTGAATAACTATATGGGCATGTCAGTACCAAATCAAGTATCCGCATGATATGTTCAATTCTGGTGGTTTTTCAAAGTATTGGAGTCAAATATAATATTATATGTTTATTTAGTCAATTATCTACTATTTTATCACAAAAAATTGGTAGGAAATGCATTCCATGATAGGTTTGCGTGATTTAAATAGCGAATTAAATACTATGACTTTAGCAAATTTGTAGTAATTAATAAAAGAAGATTGAAAACACCATAATTTTTTATATATATAATATTTTACTACACCTTCTTTACCTACCTTTTGCTTTATATATAGATAGATAATAGATAATAGATAATACACCTCCATTATAATATAATAAATAATATTAAACAGATTAAATATATCATAGGAAATATTGAAATAATAAAGCTTGTAGAAATTTTTTTTCCCTTGTTTTTGTCAAAACGCTGTAGAAAGTTTAAGAGGCGGTATATTCACAATCAACAATCTTCAAGTCAAGATGGTGATTGACAAATAGACCCCCACCCAACCACACAATCATGTAATTTACTGTGGGTCGTTGCCGCGCAGAGTTAGAGCATGATTGGTCCAAATAAACTTGATTAGCAGTGATTGAATGGGCAGCTAACCGATAAGGGTTCCATCAACTTTGATTAATTATTTCCAATTTGTCTTATGCAGCATGTAATTAGGTAGAATTCGATGATGATAATTTTCCACTTAGGCGGTCAATGTTGGCCTTTGAAGTTCGCATAATTGCTTTTTGAATGCTGGGTATGATAGTAATTGCCTTTTTAATCCTGATATTATAGTAATTGTCTGCCTGTTTATTTGTTTGTTTTCAATTGTCTTAATACCGCATGCCCACTCAGCGGGTTGAACATTATAGTAGTTGCCTTCTTGTGGGCCAAACAACTTGGAAAGAATGATTATCCTCCAAATTTGAATTTTCTTAGAAGAATCATCAACAAGAAAACAACTTTGAACTTGGACTTTGAGTGATTAACGTGGAAAACAACTTTGCTAACGTATAAGAAGATCTTTGCTTGAGGACGAAACTACTTTGGTCTCTAGAGACAATTAAGAACGGTGAAACTACTTTGGTCTCTAGATTATACATATAAATATATATGTGCGCAACGACACATACACAAAGCAACATGCTAGTGCAAGCTTATAACCTAATGGCTCATGCCTTCCTTCTCTTCCTCTTATTCTCTTACATTATATCCACAAATATTCATGCCTGCAAACAAACTGAACACAGCTCCCTTCTATCCTTTGCCTTCACTCTCTCTTCTCCTCCTTTAAATTGGACATCCTTTGATTGCTGTCGTTGGAAGGGCATCACTTGTAATCAAGATGGTTGGGTCACCCGTTTGATCTTACCTTCCAAAGGGCTCAAAGGAGGTATCTCTCCCTCTTCACTTGAAAATCTCACACATCTCACCCACTTGAACCTTTCCCACAATTCACTATATGCTTCACTTGAAACTCAGTTCTTCTTGTCTTTGAATCGACTTGAGGTCCTTGATTTGAGCTATAACCGTCTTTTTGGAGAGCTACCAATTTCTCTACCATCTAGCAATATCCGGACAGTTGATTTGTCCAGCAATAACTTCATTGGTGCAATTCCATCTTCATTCTTCCAACAAGCAAGCAACTTAACTAGTTTCAATGTTAGCAACAATAGCTTCACAGGGTATGTCCCATCCTCTATTTGTCTCCAACATTCTTCTCCCTTCCTTAGGCTATTGGATTTTTCTTCCAATCTATTTACTGGCGACCTTGCTCTTGGGTTAGGGAAGTGTTCTGAACTGCAGGTTTTTCGTGCCAATCACAATAACCTCTCAGGATTTCTTCCAGAGGATATCTATAATGCTACCAAACTTGAAGAAATTGCATTACCTCTCAATTCACTACATGGAGCCATTAGTGATAAAATTGTCAACCTCACCAACCTTGCCATCCTTGACCTCTCCTTTAATCATTTTGGCGGCAAGCTTCCTCTCAATTTGGGGAAGCTCTCCAAGTTGAAGTTTGTGACCTTAGATTTCAACAATTTAGAAGGTGCGTTGCCCCCATCTTTGATGAATTGCACAAACCTTGTAGAACTGCGTTTGGGAAACAACAACTTGGAAGGAGATATCTCTGTGCTTGATTTCTCAAGACTGAGTCAACTTACTAAACTTGACCTAAGGATCAATAACTTCACTGGTACGGTTCCAGTAAGCCTTTACTCATGTAGGTTCCTAAAAGCCATTCGGTTGGCCGAAAATCATCTGGAGGGACAAATACAAGCTGAGATACTTTCATTGAAATTCTTGTCCTTGCTCTCGTTTGGTTACAATCGATTCACCAACCTCACAGGGGCAATGAAGATATTGATGAGTTGCAAAAGTCTTCACACACTTTGTCTTAGCGGTTCCTTTGTGGGTGAGGGAATGCCATCTGATGATGACATGGTTGATTTTGATGGATTCCAAAATCTTCGAGTCTTGGGTTTGGTTCGTTCTAACCTCACTGGTCAAATACCTTTTTGGTTATCAAAGCTCAAGAATTTAGAGATCTTGGCTCTGGGTTTTAATCAAATCACAGGGCCGATTCCAAGTTGGTTGGGGACTCTTCCTAGACTATTTTATATAAGCTTGTCACACAACCAAATTTCAGGTAAATTTCCACAGCAACTTTGTCGACTACCAAGGTTGCTTCATGAACCAATTGCATCTCAAGGAGAGAATTATGAATTTGAACTTCCTGTCTTCAGTGCCAATTGCTTCAGAATAATCGCAAATCAAAATTTTCCATCGCTAAAATTGGATTTTGTTCCAAGAACGATAGACTTATCTACGAATAACATTGTTGGTGATATACCCATTGAGATTGGCCAATTGCAGCTTCTTCACACGTTGGGTCTTGACTCCAACAACTTCTCCGGCGTCATTCCAGACCAAATATCTAACCTAAGAAATTTAGAGGTTTTAAACCTCTCCATGAATCACTTGTCTGGAATAATCCCATCATCATTGGCGAGCCTTAATTTCTTAAAAGAATTTAATGTCTCATATAATAACCTCGAAGGATCGATACCAACAGGAACCCAGCTCCAAAGCTTTGAAGCTTTTGCGTTTGAGGGGAACCCAAAACTTTGTGGTGCGCCACTTCCAAGGTGCGAATCAAATAAGGACATTGCTGCAGATAACAAGAACAACAAAGACGTGCACAATGGGCTTCATCAACTTCCATGGTTTTATATCTTTGCAACATTGGGGTTCATAGTAGGATTTTGGGGAGTCTGTGGTTCTTTAATTATTAACAACACATGGAGACATGCATATTTTCGATTCATAAACAATATACAAGATAGGATCCTCTATGTGATGATAACAGTCCCCCTCAACAGGATGGAAAGACTTAGAGGCTAGATATATATTATTAATGTTGTACTTTTTATTTTGCATTATAAGCTTGCTGTAATTGTTTTTAACTATTGCAAACCCATCTTGTATTGTCGAAACCGTGGTATTTTTTGCTTGTCCGTCCAAACTGTCTTGATGATTAAATTCCTTTTGGCTCCACTAAGCCCATCCCCACTGGTTTTCTGGAATTTCTCTACCTCCTTTCAGCTTTATCTCATGTGGGCATTGTGATAGTGGAGAAATTTCCTCATTTTTTGTCTGTTGGTCTGGAGATCAACGGTGGTGATTGACTCTCTTGGTCTTTCGAAACAAATTGGAGGCAAATTGGAAGGTGGGTATTTATTCGAACCAAGACTAGGCTTTGTTAAATTAATTTACCAAGAATGGTAATTAATTTTTACCAGAGTAAGCTCTTTGTAATTGCCAAAATTGATCTGGACTTCTTCACTGTTTTGGGCTGATTCTCAAGTTCAATTAAATACCAAGCTCAAGCTGAGTTTGTCTTTGTGAGAATTGATCTCTAGTGCCCAAATTGGACCTGGGCTCCTTCAATGCTTTGGGCTCCTTCTTAGTGGGCTGGTTCGTAATCATTTCAATCCTAAAGCCCAAGAACTATTCTGGCATGATGGGCCAATTTGTTTATGAACTAGCTTGTAAGTACATAGTAGCTGATACAGAGAGGGATCTTAATGCCCTTCCTTTAATTTGCTTCTCTAACTTTTCATGAAGCCCTGAAAGAAAACAAATGAAAATAACTACCCAGAATTTAAAATCAGCCAAACATTTAAAAACGCAGAATAAGAAGACTCTCTCTCTCTCTCTCAAAAACCAAAGACTTAAAATTGAAATGAAAATTCATGACTTACAGCCAGCGCCGACAAAATAAAGCAGACGGAGGAGCTATGGGGCTGGGGGGCCCGCTAATTCTTCTCCACTCATTTCTCTTCTCTTCTCTTCTTCTAATTCTTCTGTGCGTGAAGTTGAGAACTGAGAAAGATCACGACCTGTTTTTAGTCCGAAACTGAAATGGGTCGGATCATATCGAACTCGGCCAGAAAGGAAGGTGAAAGTTGAACGTTGCTATTATTTTCTGAGCATAGGTAATTTCTACTTCTTCTTTCTGTTGTTGTTGATGGCTGTATTATGAATTTGATGTGTAAGTGGAGCTGAAAGACTAATTGTTGAACTTGTATCCCATGGGCATAAAGTTCACGTTTTCACTGCACACCATGACAAAAATCGATGCTTTGAGGAGACAGTTTCTGGTGTGTGTGCTTTCTCTGTTTCAATTTTATGGATTCATGGTATCTGTGTAAAATAGTAGTGGGGTTTACTTGAGGTTGGATTGTGTATTGTACAAAACATCGAACAAGAGTAACTCTGTTTTTTCTTTTTCATATTTAAGTTTGTTTGAAAGTTGAATGAAAGATTTACATGATGACCTATTTTACAATAAAATGTTGAAAATGACAGTTTCAAGTCGTCTTGGTGTGTGTACTCTGAGAGAAACAGGATTAGAAACAAAGACCTACTATAGGAACTTCATCAAACAGGGTACTACATAGATAATGGATACTACACCGCGGGATTGGAAGATGGTTTATACATAGTTAGAACAATCATATCAAATTTTCTTTTCTTTCCTTGTCCTTATTTCTCAGTTTCACAGTGTTCAACCGTCATTTAAAATCAGTGCATTGTTTGATGTTTTAATGTCATCTGTTTTCCCAGTGTCTTTCCTGTTACTGTATATGGTGCTTTCCTACCCCTACGTATATTCTATCGTCTTCATGCTTTGTGTGCATTTCTACGGTGCCTTTTTGTTGCTCTCTGTGTGCTGGTCCTGTGGCCATCATTTGATGTAATACTAGCAGATCAGGTTTCTGTTGTCATCCCAATGCTAAAGCTTAAGAAGACAACAAATGTATTTGCACCTATTTGATATCATGTTGTTTAATATGTTACATCTTTATGTCCAGGTTTTTTTTATTGTCATTTTCCAGATTTATTGCTAGCTCAACACACACACACACACACACACACACACACACACACTATTTTGAGGAGTGCATATAGGAAACCTTTAGATTTCATAGAAGAAATGACAACTGGTCTGATTCCATATCTTGGCTTTATCATATTTATCTGATGTGTCTTGTGCACCTTTTTAGTGTTCTTTTGCAGTGATCATACTACTATTTCTCACTGATTTAAAAAAAAAATTAAGTATGGCTGCAGGAATGGCAGATAAGATTCATGTTATAGCAAATTCACAGCATCTTTGTTTGCAAAGACATTTAGGAATCTTAACGGATGACGAATTCAGCCAGTCTTTACCCAGCTGTTAATGTGAAACAGTTGATGAACCCACCAATTCGTATAAGTAACGAACATGTTTGTATATGGTTTACAGTTTCCTTGATGATTTTCATTTCCGATTTTATGTGGTAGCTTACCGTTGTTTTCCTGCTTTGATATTTTCCTTGTTGTAGGATAAATTTTCTGTCGATAAACTGTTTTGAGAGGAAAAGGAATATAGACTTGGAAATTTCAGCTTTCAGTGTGCTTTGTACCCTTGAAAGAGATGTGCTTCAAGTTCCTAATCTAACTGAAACTTCCCTGACAAGTTCCTATCACTGAGTAATCTATTAATCTTACTGATAGACATGTTATACTAAGTTATCAACTAACAGGTAAGAGAAAAAAAAAATTTATAGGGATATGCGTTCATTACCATATAACCTTGTCGAATGACCACATGATATTAATGGACTATCAATAACCAAGCAGAAGCATGCAGTAATCACGTGGTCGTGATATTAAGCTTTTCCTTTAGGTTCATTTGTGTGTTGAAAGCTTTATGGATCTTGCAATTTAACTATAATATCTCGACGTGGAAAGACTTTTTTTTTCTCTCAGTAAATTATGAAACATTAGCCTGTAGATGTTTTATCTAAAATTTAGGTGTCACTACTGGATTGCTTCAGATTATGTAGCGGGCTTGTGATGGCCTACATTCCTAGTCAAGCCTGGAGTTGTTATTTGTGGAAGAAAACGAAGCTTATGTAGAATGAATAGCAGTAAACTTTTATGCTGTTATCTCATTTAGTATCAGATGGCTCTTTTAAAGCAAACTTGTCTGACATACCTGCGAATCGAAACCCTGGATAGATGTTCAAATTTCCTTTATTATTACAATATATTAGTGCTTAGTTAGTTGTGTGTGTGACATATGTCAAGATATATAGAGATGTCAAAATGAAGTAACAAGACTGTCCATGATGACCTGTAGCTTGTAGACCGAGAAACATCAGGTCCAAAGAAATTGGGTGATCACTGTGTAGAACTTTGTGTTTTACCTGGTATCTCGAGAGGTGAAAGGAATTTAGTTTGACTGGAGGATAATACTCTTCTTATCTCTCAAAATTTACTCGGCAAGGTTCCAAAGAATGCTCTTAGATCAAAACATTATGTAGGGATGGTATGAACTGCCTAAAGATAGAATTCTTGAACAGCGAACAACCATAGCTATTACTCACACTACAGCAAAAAATTTCCATTAATGAAAGATTTAAAACCAGGTTTTTTTAATGAAACAAGCCCCATAGTTTCAGCAAATCTGTATTTAGCTTAAACAAAAATTTTGTACTGTACTAGCTATAGTCTAAACATTTTGGGATATTAAATCTTGTCTTAATGTACAGTTAGGTCATATTGGGATTCTTATGAGTTTGTCACTCAGATGTATGAGGTTTCCTTTTACCAATTGCGGATGCTGTGTAAAAATGCACTTGGATTATTGTCTGAGCTAACAGACAAGTTATGCCGGGTCAGTTTCGAATACCCAACCCTGCCACGCAACAAAAGGAACCAATGCTATTTCATATTTGATTGGTAGAAGTGCATAACTTCTCCACATTCGGGAGTGATAAATTCAATACATGTCCAATGTTTTAGGTGGCTTTGATAAGCGCTTGAAAGAAGATGCTGAGTACTTGAAGGAGCTCAGAAGTTTAGCGGAAAAGGAAGGAGTGTCCAATCAGGTTAACTTCATCGCATCTTGCTCAACAGCTGAAAGAAATGCACTTCTCTCCCAATGTCTATGTGTCCTTTATACACCAAAGGTCCAAATTCCACTGTTTTGTTCCGTTTGATGGGATATAGGTTGGAAAATAAAATTGATATGAGCTAATCCGATTGAAGACCCGCAGATGGCACAGAGAGTTCTGCTTGGCAATTGCTAAACTGATCGAAGAACCACAGATGGCGCAGAGAATGGGCATCTATATGCGCGACGGCATGTGACAGATTCATGCTCTACAAAAATATTTGGTTGGCTTAAGACTGAATGACCTTGTAGTATAAGTTGTTCAATTTAATCGCCTAGACTTAAATAAAATTTTGTTGCGTTTAATATATCCATGAATTTACTCCGAGTGTGTCATCTTTTATGCCTTTCGTCTTTTGCTTGATGTACCATTTTTCTAAAGTTCATTTATTTGATCATGTAGTTGACAGATGGTAGTGACTTGTGAATGAAGAGCGAAGAATGAGATTTTCTGCGAAGGTTATCCTTCTCCTCAGTGTAACATGAATAGGATGTCAATGTATGTAATGTTAGGCCATCTCCAATCATGTTGAGGCTAAACTTAAATTTCCACCCTTCAAAATACAACTATTCATGTATTTTCAGGACTCAATTTTTTTTTTTCCTCCAACCTTGTAGACTCATAATTTGAGTCCGCAATTTTATTAAATTGTTTAAGAATCATTAACTCCTAATTTTTTTTGTGTTAATTTTTCTTGACATTATTTTTATTTCAACACTCGTGATTTAATTTTCTAAACATTATAACCTAAAAAAATTAAAATTCCAAAATATAATAGAATTTCACTTTTTTAAAATAAAAAAAACAGCAAATCAGATTTGTTTTGAAAATATAGCTGCTGCCCAACAAGATTGAAATGTGCACCAGCTTTATTTGCATGCCCAAACAGAAATATCAGCGGCCCCAGCAATGTGACGTGGGCTTCTAGCCAAGAAAAAAAGAATAAAAAACATATTTTGGGCCCACAAAAAATATGAGTCCAGGCAATATTGGGACTGGAATTCCACCCCAAGTTTGAGATTTCTCAAATTTCCACCCCCCAAAATACATGAGTTGGAAAAGTTTTTTGGACTCAAAACTCAAAATTTGAGTTTCTACCCCTTGGGTTGGAGATGGTCTTAAGATAAGGCTTGACCAGCACTGGAACTCTCAAGCCATGTTTGGCATGCATGCCGTATTAAATAACACCATATATCTTCCAAGATTCTAGCTCAAATCAAGAAAGTGGTAGCTCTTCAGAGAGACGGTTATAGCTCAAATCAAGGATCTCAAGTCGGTTCAAAGACAAGAAGAACTGAATTTCAAGTGAACCATAAAGTGAATTGTGGGAAAGGTTCAAGTGGGTGAGATGTGAGGGATTTGCAAGTGAAGAGGAAGAGAGACCTCCTTTGAGCTTTTTGGAAGGTAAGAGCAAACAGGTGACCCAACCATCTTGATCACAAGTGATGCCCTCCTAATGACAGCAATCAATGGATGTCCTATTTAAAGGAGGATAAGATAGAGTGGAGGCAAAGGACAGGAGGGAGCTGTGTTTAGTTTGTTTGCAGGCATGAATATTAGTTGATATAATGTCAAAGAAAAAGAGGAAGAGAAGGAAGGCATGAGCCATTAGATATAAGGCAACACTAGCATGTTGCTTTGTGTATGTGCCGTTGCTCACTGGTGTATAGGTAGAGAGATAATAGATCCTCCCCCTAGGATGGTAGCTTTTATTCCTTGATTGCCCTGTAAGTTAAATAAGGGATTCTGGGTGCCATTTCCCAAAACGCAATATGACCTAATATAAGACATAAACCTAACATTGTTATCTACGAAGAGCAGGCATGTGTGGGACTGTAGTTATACATTAACACATTATGATGACATGGTTGATTTTGACAGATTCCAAAATCTTCGGTTCTTTAGTTTGGCGGGTTTTGACCTCACTGTTCAAATACCTGTATGGTTATCAAAGCTCAAGAATCTAGAGTTCTTGGCTCTGGGTTTTAATCAAATCATAGGGCCAATTCCAAGTTGGTTGGGGAACCTTCCTAGACTGTTTTATATAGACTTGGCACACAACCAAATTTTAGGTGAATTTCCAAAGCAACTTTGTAGACTACCAAGGTTGCTTTATGAACCAATTGCATCTCAAGCAAAAGACCAATATGAATTTGCATTGCCTATCTTCTGCAACATAATAACTGCAAATAAAATTTTTCTTCCGCAAAAATTGTCTACTTTTCCAACAACGATAGGCTTATCTAATAATAACATTAGTGGTTGCATACCTAATAAGATCAGCCAATTGCACCTTCTTTGCTGGTTGTCTCTTGGCTACAACAACTTCTCCGGTGTCATTCCAGACCAAATATCTAACTTTAAAAATTTAGAGATTTTGGACCTCTCCATGAATCACTAGTTTTTCTTGGAAGAATTTAATGCCTCATACAATAATCTTGAAGGACCAATACCAATAGGCACCCAGCTTCAAAGCTTCAACGCTTCTGCCTTTGAGGGGAATCTAAAACTTTGTGGTGCCCCACTTCCAAATAAGTGAGGACCAAGTAAGGCCATTGATGCAAATAAAAAGAACAATAAATGACTGGACCTGCCCCAGAATTTCCCCTGAAACCGGGGCGGACCCCGTCTTGGTGCCGACATCACACCGATGCCGGTCCCACTTACTAAAAACCCAAGACATCCTACCAAAATTTTGGCAGAGTCTCCCCTGTAAAATGCTCAAACCCAACATTATTTAACCTGCATAATTTACATAAAATAAAACCCAACTGCCAACATGCTTTCAACATACAACAATCCAAAATAAAGTGGCCTCCGGCCTCAAGTAACAACCTAACATGGGCGATAACAGAGCATCTAACAGAATTTGTTTACAACAAACAGTTGAGTAGAAGGAATTTACACAAGTCCTATCTATGGATGAAATGTTTTGAGCTCGCAACCTGCTCGAACGCTTCCAAAAGCAACTACTGCCTGGGGGG